TCTCTCTCTCTCTCTCTCTCTCTCTCTCTCTCTCTCTCTCTCTCTCTCCGTGTGTGTGCATAGATAACCTTATGACTTGGAGATGGGACTGTCATCTGGTGGATGACTGGGCTGGTTCTGTTCCTTATGTTTTCCTGCACTGAACCACATAGGCTGTGTGGAAGAGCCACAGTGGGTTTCTTAGAACATTGCTCACTGACTTATCTCATCTCTCTCTCTCTCTCTCTCTCTCTCTCTCTCTCTCTCTCTCCGTGTGTGTGCATAGATAACCTTATGACTTGGAGATGGGACTGTCATCTGGTGGATGACTGGGCTGGTTCTGTTCCTTATGTTTTCCTGCACTGAACCACATAGGCTGTGTGGAAGAGCCACAGTGGGTTTCTTAGAACATTGCTCACTGACTTATCTCATGATGTCACTTCTGGTGTTCACCTCTGTGATTAAAGATTCTTTGTTGGTCTACAAAATTGATTCAGAAGTGTATTTTAGTCCAATAAAACTGCCACCGAGTCACCTGCTTTCAGACTTTGGTGGCCTAGCCGCTCTCCTACGTCTTCCCAAGTGGCTTGAGCTGTACTTAGGCAACATGTTACTGTTTGTAGCAAAATGGCTTTAATATCGGTTATGAGCCCAGCCCAGGCCAATGTAAAGCTGCTATCATACCAGGGGACCTACAGACTGCAGCGCTGCTGCCTTCAAGAAGTGGGAGATCTGAGCCAGCGAGATGGCTCAGCAAGTAGACGTGCTTGCTAAGCATGTCCATCTGAGTTCAATCCCCAGGATCCACATGGTGGAAGGAGAGAATTCCTTCAAGGTGTCCTCTGACACACACACACACACACACACAATTTTAAAACTACTGAAAGCAGTGAGAGCCTGCAATATAGCAAGACCCTATCTCAAAAAAAAAAAAATGTCTCCAAACATTTTCACCATGTCCTCCAGGTTCCTGCTCTAAAGCCAGAGTGGACAACTAGGGGGTTCCCAGCCTACCATTGAGGAGCTGTGCTCAAGGGCATCTTCTCCTGAGCTGATATGGACTTTGGCAAAGAGATTTGCACAGACCTGCCCATTACCTCTTGGGTGTCCCAGCAAGCTTTGTTCTCTCACTGTTATTAGAAATTGTATTTCTAGAGGGCCCTGGGATTGGGAACAGCAATCCCACCTCTAAAATCCCTTTTGAGTGTCTTCATGTGACCCACAGTGCAACATCTCTAGTCCCCACACGCCCAATAGGCTTACAGAGTTCAGTAAGTCAGTGCAGATCCAGAGGTATAAATTAAAACCCTGTGTCTTCCAGGGAGTTTGATCCCTTTTAAGCTGACAGCCTTTTCAATTCCCTGCTTGATTATTCCACAGTCACAGGTACTCTGTGGCTCTAAGCAAGTTCCCAAAGGACTTTGTAATGAGCAAGTGAGCAGAGCCCAGGAAGCTGAGGTGACTGCTGAGGCGTAAACCCCTGGAAAGATGCAGAAGGAGATATGGCCCCTGCCTAACAAGCACCTGTCCCACAATTCCTTTGCCCGTCTTGGTAGAACTGCTCTAGGGAACAAACAGGTGCCCAGCCTGAGCTAGTCTGGGGCTTAATCCTTAATGAATGGAGTTCAAAAGAGGGGGGAGGAGGGAGAGAAAGAGAGAGAGCTAGAGAGAGAGAGAGAGAGAGAGAGAGAGAGAGAGAGAGCGAGAGAGAGAGAGAGAGAGAGAGAGAGAGAGAGAGAGAGAGGAGCTGCCCAAACACTTGTATAACCTTACCATGGCTAGTGTTAGGTGAAGCTGGGCTCACAGGTTCCCCTGAAGAGGTCGTAGCTGAGGAGGCCGGTTGCTTTCTCCTGAAATGCCCCTCCATGCTCTGTCCAGAGCAGACTCGCCACACTCCCTCTCGTCTCCTCCCCACACTGCCTCTCCTTGTGTTGTTTCCTCCCTCCACTGTCTTGTCCAGGGATTCCTGAGAAGGAAACAAACCCTGCCCAGAGATCCAGCCTGTGGCTCCCAGTTCCTCTTTCTCAGTCACCCCTAGTGGGGCCGGAAGCTCATCTTAAAGCACACCTCAGGACCACGGGATTTTCAATATCTTTTTCTTTCTTGTTGAAAAATGTCTTACTAACAGCTTCCCTTTTAGCTGGTACAAAATTGACTTCTAAATTCATGTTTCTATACGCTGAACACATGAAAGTTTTCCTTTCCACGTGTATGCGGCACTGAGCTCAACTGAATCCAACGATGTTCCATTCATTGTAATCGTGAGCCAGATCTCAGCAGCCACGTGGAGAACCATCCCAATAGCCTGATATTTGCGTTAATTTATTTCCAAAGCTGACATTTCCTTGGGAAAGAGAAGGTGGATGCTAATGGAAAGAGAAAATGTTAACGGTAGACAATCCATCTGAGACAGGTTCTTGATTTTCCTTCTTAATTTCTTCCCCTTCCCTCCCTCCCTTCCTCCAACCCGTCCTCCCCACCCTTCCTTTTCTGACCTCTTCCCTCCTTCCTTTCACCTTCCCTCCTCCTGCAGTTTCCCCTAACTCCTCCCTGTCGTTCTCCCTTAATAAGAACTGTCCCTGGGATCACTTTGAACTTGTACGGTAGCTGTGTGATCGTGGGCAGGTCATTTTACCTCCAGTTTATTAACTGCAAAATAATAAAACGTATCTGCTGGAGCTCCTGTAAGGATCTCAGATAATTCAAGCACATAGTTCAGTCCTAAGAAGACAATAACTGATGCCATTCTTTCTGGCTAATGTGCTTCGCCAAGCACCAAGGAGCTGCACTGTAGACGGTGAGTATGGGAAAGTGGGGGCCCCAGAACGCGCCGCCTTCACAGAGCTTAAGCAGCAGGCTGAACCAGTGCCCAGCCGACCTTCGGTAGTGACGTCTGAGTGTATGTCTGAAGTTAAACGAGTAAAGAGATAAAATCCTTCCACTCAAATACAAAGAACGCCAAGAGCTCCCCCGGTGAGGAGGCAGGTATGTGAAAAGAACACGTTTCTACTGACCGTTACTAGGTAGCAGGGACAGTTTTGGGTGGTTTAAATTATTATTTGTCTTCATTTTCTACAGATTCCTGGAAAGAAAGATTTTTTTTAAGTTTACATTTCAAGTTGAGAATCCACGCCAAGAGAAGCAAACGTACAAAGCCAAACCCAAATGGAATGGAGC